TTTCTCTTTATCCGTTTTTGAGTTATCTTTAAAATTCGAAATTTGCACTTCTCCTCAATATCTCGAATACGGTCCATTTTAGGGAAATCATGTATAGAATTAAAATTATAAATAATGGCATCACAAGCAATTTTTATCAAGATTCCTATACTTTCCTTATCTGTATACAGAAATAAAAGTAAAAAATGTCCGTGACTGTATTTTCTTAAGCAGATTTGTGTAGGTCGACCTTACTTCAGATCGTGTACTAACAGTTTTAAAGATGACATAGAAATTGATAAAAAAAAGTATTTTATTTGCCTAATCCCTGTAAAAAAGCACAATATTAATTTATTCTGACGAGGAAACTTCTGTAAAACTTCTTTTGATATATAGTTCGCCACATTTCGCATCAATAGTGTTAACACAATAGAAACCAACAGAGCGCAGTCACACCCTATGGCTTAGTATCTCTTTCGTAGAAACCGAATCTATTTTACACTAAACTGCATCATTCAGTACTTTTATCCCAATTATACCAAGTGTATCAAAATAAATCATAAGCTGATTTCCCCAGCTCTAAATTAGTTCCGAAAGCTTCTCGATTTTCAAGTAGTTTTAAAGACAAGGGTGCAAGGGTGTAGATACGGGGGGTGGAAAAGGCAATTACAAAATAAAATAAAAGATCATTGATAAACATTTTAATATGTAAAACGGCATATTTGAGAAGAAATTCATTTTTAAAAAATCAGTTCATAATGTTTACAATATTATACAACAAGGGACTAAAGTGCCACTTTTAATCCTGAGAGGGATTAAAACGCACTTTAGTCTCGTAGTACATACGTTATTTTTTGTACGGCAGGGACTAAAACTAAGAAATTTACACGATAATTATGTGAAAAGAAACACTCAATATTATTTCATACCGATTATTTAATCGTATACCTAATGATTATGAAATAAATAAAGTAGTTTACTATGTTTTCTATTGGTTTTGTTATTTGCAGGACTAAATAATACTGCTTTTTTTTATTGTTATTTTAATTATTTTTCTCATCTCTCAACATATTATATTCGCTAATAAACTCTGCTTCCTTCTTTTGCGAATAAATTTCAGTGTCTTCGTTGACAGCTTCTTGAATATAGGCAACTCATTATACGTAAATGAAGTAGGTATACACCATGAAGGCTATGGTATACACTAAATATTAAATTGAAATTTATTATTTTAACGTTTTATTGTAATCAATTGTGTTTTCAATAATTGTCTTGTTATATTACCTCCCGAATAAAGTAGTTTGCTGTGGTTTCTATTGGTTTTGTTATTTGCGGGACTAAATTTTTTTAATCCTTTGAGACTAAAATATTTTAGTCCCAAGGGAGTAGAAGTGGCATTTCACACTCTAAAATGAGGAAGATAAATGCATGTTTTAGTTCCTGAGGTACACAAAAGTAGTTTTTGGCTAGGCAATATCCTACTTTCAGTGGTGGCTCGTGAGCAAAAAATTGGGGGTTCACAATGACAAAATATAGATCTCAGTACAGATTTAAGTAAAAAACTTTTAGTTTTTATAATACACCTTTCCAAAACACTGAAAGCTTTTTACCTTAATCTGTACTGAGACCTATATTCTCTCATTATAAACCCCCAATTGTTTGGATACGAGCCGCCACTGCCTACTTTTGTTTGGATTTCCCACTATATTTTAATTCTTGTAATTATTTTTATAGTATTTTTTTTCGTGTCTTATTGTTGTTATAAATTCTATTAGAATACTGATCATTATGTTAATATTGTATATGTTATTGTAAATAATATGCTATTATATCAACCATGATGATTAGATGTTAGAAAGAGTGCAGAAGAAATTTCTTAGACACTATGCTTATAGACTGGGTTATAGGTGGAGTGAAACAAACTATCAATCAATAGGTAGTATTTGTAACTTAATATCACTGGAGAAACGTAGACTTGATGCAGATCTATTGTTTGTTTATAAATTGATCAATGGTTATATCAACTGTCCTGATTTATTGTCACAATTTTGTTTTAATGCTGGGCCAAGAACGAACATAAATAGACCTACCTTTTATATACATTCACACTCAACCAATTATGGTTATCATAGTCCGTTGTCTCGTTTGCCCCGTGAATATAATCATTGTTCGTTAGATATCTTCTACAAATCACTAACTACGTTCAAAAATGCTTTAAAATCGCTGTAAATAACATTAAAATAACTATATCTAATCTATTAATACTTAACCTTCTATGTTCATTATTTCTTATAGTTTTATGTCTACTTTTAATAGTTAATTTTTCTGCGGTTTTAAAAATAGGTATCTGTCTGTATATGTAACCTGTGTTAATTTAATTTAATTTTAATTTTAATAATTTTGTATTTTTAATATGTATTTCAATTTTGTATTTTCAATATGTACTGGAAATCCGTAAATAAATAAATAAATAAATAAATAAATAAATAAATAAATAAATAAATAAATAAATAAATAAATAAATAAATAAATAAATAAATAAATAAATAAATAAATAAATAAATAAATAAATAAATAAATAAATAAATAAATAAATAAATAAATAAATAAATAAATAAATAAATAAATAAATAAATAAATAAATAAATAAATAAATAAATAAATAAATAAATAAATAAATAAATAAATAAATAAATAAATAAATAAATAAATAAATAAATAAATAAATAAATAAATAAATAAATAAATAAATAAATAAATAAATAAATAAATAAATAAATAAATAAATAAATAAATAAATAAATAAATAAATAAATAAATAAATAAATAAATAAATAAATAAATAAATAAATAAATAAATAAATAAATAAATAAATAAATAAATAAATAAATAAATAAATAAATAAATAAATAAATAAATAAATAAATAAATAAATAAATAAATAAATAAATAAATAAATAAATAAATAAATAAATAAATAAATAAATAAATAAATAAATAAATAAATAAATAAATAAATAAATAAATAAATAAATAAATAAATAAATAAATAAATAAATAAATAAATAAATAAATAAATAAATAAATAAATAAATAAATAAATAAATAAATAAATAAATAAATAAATAAATAAATAAATAAATAAATAAATAAATAAATAAATAAATAAATAAATAAATAAATAAATAAATAAATAAATAAATAAATAAATAAATAAATAAATAAATAAATAAATAAATAAATAAATAAATAAATAAATAAATAAATAAATAAATAAATAAATAAATAAATAAATAAATAAATAAATAAATAAATAAATAAATAAATAAATAAATAAATAAATAAATAAATAAATAAATAAATAAATAGATTAAGGGTTAAGAGTGGCTGTACAGTTAACCTTCGCCTCCCTGATGCAACTGCAGGCATGCACTTAATAAAGACGTATTATTATAATAGAACAGACCACTGCGTCAAAAGAATCACATCTAACACACGATGTGCGCTTACTGATAACGTCAGTATTATGAAAATTTTATTTAGAACTGATAGTTTTATGCTGCGATACTCAATTGACGATATCTTAATTCAAAATAATATTAGGAATAGATGGCAAGCTTTGTTAAGCCATGAGACTTGTCTTAGACGATGCCCTAGTCGAGGATGTGTAAACTGGTCCTTTTACTCCGAGCAACATACTAACACATCTGTTGTACTGAGTATTTTAAATACTTAAAGTAAATACTTGGGTATACAACCATACTTGAAGTATTTGACTTAAGTACTGATACAAACGTTGGTACTTGCAATTGTAAGTTTTTCAAATTTTACTTATACTTAATATTTAAAATATCATCCAAGTTTATTTTGTACATATAAGTAGATTATAAGCTTGTATTTCAATAGTCGGATATACCGCCTATATAGAATATATCTCATTAAGATTATCGATAACCAATCATTTAAATTGTTAGTTTAGTATGAACATTACTTAAAATAAAAAATATTTATATTATTTTTTAACGGTATTTGTACTTAAATGTCATTTCAAGTACGTTCAAGTTTAAGGAAAAACATAAATTTGACTCTGACGTTCGTGTAATTTGGTACTTGTACTTAAATTTGGGTAAGTCAAGTCAATTTACTTGATATTTTAAGTATGTCCTTCATTACTTATACTTGCACTGGTACTTGATTCGTATTAAAACAATAACTTGTACTTAATACTTAAGTACTTATTCTCGGTACTAACAGCAGCTCTGCATACAGGTCGTTTCTTTTATTATATGTGAACATTAGAATGTTTCATTTTGTAAGTAAAAAAATTAAATGTAAAATTTTTTCAGACTTTGCTTAGTGTCAGTGATGTAAAAGATATGTATGCGAAATTTCAAGAAGATTGTACAATATTTAGAGGTTGCACGCTTTGACCAGTTTTGTAAAAGTATGCAAAAAATACGACTTCTCAATGTTAATTACTTTTAATGTTAAAACTATAAATCTCAAACTTAAAATTACACATTGAGATTATTAGGGAATAGGTAATAGGTTCGAATCCCACCGTTGGCCGGGATTTTTTTATTTAATTTAGTTATTTAAAATTAATTCTGATGCCTTGGTAGGATTCCCCACTCGACCATTCACTGTTGGGTTCTAATTAACAGTGCTGTTCCTAAAGTGGCGCTGGGAAACAGTAACAAAGTCTGCACAGACCACGAGGCGATATAACCACAGTAGTTGAAGCCGATGACACACAAATAAAAAAAAATTATTAGGTAATAGATAGGAAAAATATATCTTATATTATTCAACTTTGAACGATGCAATCCCTTGTTTAGTTCGTTTGGTGACGACTTTTCTATGATGCTCCACTATCCTCAGCAAAAATTGTTTTTGTTGTTCATCTCTGACCGATCTGTTAAATTTCTTTATTAGAACAATTCCTCTTTCTGCGGTATTATTCTCTACCTTAAGAGCGTTTACTTGACTTCTTACAGAATCACTGAAATATTTTGCCACGTTATCTCAAACAATTCAAAAACATTTTTGTTTTACTAGTGATGAAATGACTCGGATCTTTTCCTTTAAAAACTAAGTTTTTATCGTCTAATCGTTTCATTTCTTTTTTATTTGGAAGTTCATCCAAAAAAGCTAATCCTACGTTTGTTTCTGACAGATACCACAGGTGTCTCTTAGCAATAGTAAGAGTACTTTTTTTGACGTCTCCATCTGGGTAAATATTTAGAAGCTGCAGCATATCCAAATCATTTTTTGGAGCCCATCGAATTACAATGGCTTCGTGCCAAAAGCGAACATATATGAGGCTGACAAAATGTGCAACCCTTTTCATTCCTTTCAATTCTCCTTAAGGCATATTCAACTATTATGCGAAGAGAATAATTTTAAGTGCATAAATTGCTTTTGCCATTCACCTTGCTTGATGCATAGCTCTTGGAATCCTGAAACTGAATTCGTCTTGAAACCAACCTCCTAGGTACAACAGTGATAGTTGTAATAACTCTTTGTAGTCTTCTCTCGGATGGCTTCCATCTTTTAGGACATTTTGTATGTAGTTATTTATTTTCACTCGTTGGTCTTTTATAAAGCCTTGAACGGGACGTTCCTCATCCAGCATTGTGGTATATGACTTTTTATCTAGTAAAGCCCACATATTTTGGAACTATCGAAAGATCTGGATGTTAGGATCACTTGATGGTATGTTACAACATTCCTCAAACACTCCTTTTAATATTAATTCATGAGTGTGATAACCACAACAATGTTCGTTCTAATTCCCTTTCAATTCTGGTACATGCTTCTTGGATCAGTCCTGTATTAGACGATGTAGTATCAAAAGACATACCGATGATATTGTCACCTAACCCAAATCGGTGCACTTTTCGAATAACTACTTCAGTCAGCTGCTCACCGGTGCCTTTCTGGGCAACAGGTACTCCAAGCAAATGCTCAAAATCTTTAGCAGTCACTAGAACTGCAACTCTATCTTCCAAAGTTTTGACATTCCTATGGGCAACAATTTACTATCCCAATGCAAGACCAAAGGAGGAGGATTTTCAAAAAGCATCTCCTCGATTTTCCTTGCCATTTTTCTTTTATTGACTACCCGAGCTCGGTAAACGGTGGATGAAGATACGAAAATTTTTAAAACATCGTGGCCAAGGCTCTTTGCAGTTGCTATAAAAGAGGTACTTGCTTGTTTGATAAAGAATTGTTCTCGATCCCAAGTAGACGTGAGTGTTTGGTCCAACGGTTTTAATCTAGGACTTGAACGTAATTTTTTCTTTGCTGGAGGAAAAAAATTCGTCCTCTTCGCTACTAGGTGTTGATGATGATGAAGATGAGTCTTCCAGTATTACTGTCTCATTTATTTGAGCTATAGCTCTGTAATGTCTATTCTTATATGAATCATTTTTGTCTTTTTTTGTACATTTAGTTCTTATTTTGGAGACGAAAACCTTGTCTACTCCAGTCATTGATAAACTCATTCGGTCTTCTCTTTGTGATCCAAGAAATGCTTTATCTTCTTCCGATAAGCTTGTCATTTCCATCATATAACTCGACAAAATTAACTTTCCAAATCTGTCGTTTTATGGTAGCTTTATCGGGGTTTCTAGATTTCTCTTTACCTAGATTTTGGAATTTGTATAGCTTCTGTATACCAGCGCGTATATTCTCCTCTGTCTTAACAGGGATATCTGCTTTCCTCCACACTTCCTGTAGTTTAGTACTGGTAGATTTACCAGCTTCCGAAAGTGTTTCTTTCATATCCTTATGATGGTAAATAAAAACTAATAGTACTTGTTCCTTTGAAGGGAGCCGAGCTCCTAAAAAATCACCAGTAGGCACCTTTTCTAGCAACCAAATTTCTCTTTTGGTACCCATTTTAAAGCTCAATTACCTGTAAAAGATGAAAGAAATACATGTAAAGATCAAAGATCACTAGTATAAATCAAGTCAATATTAGAAATTTTACCAGTTTGTGATAAAAGTGATCAATGTGTGCAACCCCTAAATATTCTCCAATCTTCTTGAAATTTGGGACATGTTTTTTTTTATCACTTAGACTCAGGGCGTAAGCAAAGTCGTATGAAAATAACATCTTTGGAAAAATAAAACACCCTAGTGAACATAGTATTATTCTAAACCTTAACAGATACGAAGTGAATAAATAGGAGAAGTTTACTACAGTTCATCAAATTTCTAGAGGTGTTCGACGCCCAGACAGAGAACGCGCTACGTGTGACTAAGATAGCTATTGTACAGTCTGCTAAACAAGTTATTTTAAATAGTTTTTAATATTTTTAGGTAATTAAATTTTAAAAGTGTGGAATAGTTTAGGGATTAAATTGGTCTGATTAAACTTTCTTAGAACGTTTTTAAAAGCAGCTAAAGATAGTATGTAGAATTGAAAATAATTATTATGCCATAAAAGGTGCTTTGGAATTCCTTCAACCTTTTGAAATTGAGTCAGAAAATATAAATTTTATAGGATAGCGGAAAATACCTATAATTTTTTTGTAGGCCTTTGTAAATCGTGGAAATAGTTTATATTTTATTTCTACCTTATTAAGGAAAATGGTACCTATTATTAATAACGGTTGTTTCTGAAACATTACTAAAATTTTCTAAATTTTGTTTTTCTACAAAATAATAAACTATACTATTTAGAAAAAATTTATTTCTCTTATAATTTTATAAAAAATAACAGGGGAATATTTACATTTCTTGATCTATTAAACAAAACGATAAATTATCTCGACGAATGACACCATGTTCTAGTACGGAAGCTAGCTTTACATTTTTGTTGGTGGTTTCATGGGTTTCATATCAGTTTTTTGTAATTGTAGTTTACACGTACATATACCTCTTAACACTTGTTTGCTTTATTAAAAAAGTGTGTTGTTGTGATTTACGTCGAAATAAGTCAAAAACAACTTGAAACCCCATATAAAATCAAAAAGGAGAAACGGAAAAAAATTGAGCCTGTAAATGAACACAACTCAGAAACAAAAATAGCTATCTAATAATAAAAAAATAAAATTTGATTCTTGTGCAGCTTCATCTATATCATTAACTGTTTTTGGTTTTTTAATGGTTTTTCTTGGTGATGAAAATTCCGATATCTCACGGTTATCGATTCTTTTTTTCTCTCCAGAAATGCGGACGACAGTGTTTTTAGATACTCCTGTGGCTGCAGCAACACGATCATTTACATTTTTAAATGGTATTGAAGGTGAATTAAAGTTTCCTTCTCTTCTCATAAACTCTATAACATTGGCTATTATTTCGCGAGATTGACTGTTAATCACGCGACCTCTTAATTTGCTATTAAACTCCATACTTAGGTTCTATTAAACTGTAATGAGCAAAAAACACAAACGAAAATAAAAGAAATGTTTTAGCGAAATTTACATCTGACATTTACGTCTAAATGAAATAGTGAAATACTTGATGCGCAGAGTGTACTTTCATTGCGTAAATCCGTCGGGATGCCTGTCAGTAGTGCTTTCTCTGTCTAGCCGTCGAAAGCCTCTAGAAATTTGATGAACTGTACTTTGGGGAACATTACAGTGTTCGAAAAAATATACAGGATATACTACTATTATCAAATTGTAAATTGCCATATTTTTTTACGAAAAGAAACTTCCAATTAGAAAATATCAAAAAATTAATAAAGAAAACTTAAGTTTATATAAAATAAAGTTAGCCCATGATAGTGGATGAGATTTTCCGGGTTAAGTCACCCCGGAGCGCCACGATACATAATACTAATACCCCACACAAGCTCAGTCTGATTTAGGGATTGATATTCACTGGTAAGGGAGTGAATTAGGGAGAGTATTATTATATTATTTTTAGTATAAAAAAGAACAATATTTTGCCTTAAAAAAAACGAAAAAAAAAAATAAACATTTGTTTTAGTATTATTATTAGTCATTATTGACTTATTAACTAGCCTACAATTTTAATTTAAAAATATTATGAACTAATTACTTATTTAAGAAGTTCCCATTTGGGGAAATTATTTCTAAGAAAATATCACGAGTTGGCGTGACGATTTATTACAATTTTACACAAACACTAACAATATAGTTCACTGCACGAGTTCAAATGACTGACCTTCTTCCTTTTGTGTTTTGATGCACTTCTTCATTGACTTTGTGGAGTCGACCTTCATAATATTTCGCAACAAACTTCTTTATTTTTTCTTCGACTGTTGACATCTTCGGAACTCTATGAAGATAATCGTTTGCATAGAACAAAGGTGCATCAACGATGTATCTTAGGACTATATTTTGGAAGAAAACACATATCATGTTGATACTACTCTTGCGGGCATATCTCCATAGCTGTATGCCATAAACCTAGACTGGTTTTAGGATTTTTTTATTTAATATTTATACTGACAGCTTGGATTTTATTACAAGAAGTAAATACTTTTTTTTTAATTTATTTTATTTATTTTAGTTTGATCCGATTGCAGACAAAATATATTTCCGTGTTAATACCTAAATAAAATAAGATCTACGCCTTTGTGTATAGAAAATTTGTTAACAGAAATGTATTCGCATGTACGTCTTTGTTGCAACCCCAATAAGTGAAGCGTACCTAATTTTCTATTCGTGTAAGCCTGCACATCATTTATCATTGTATAGATAGTTAATTCCGAGTGAAGTCAATTTAGATTATACCTCAAAAGAAGATCGGTTAAGAGGACGATTTAAATGAGCGGTTATTTTCAGCATTATACAGTAGGGTGGAGCGATTTTTTTTTATTTGGTTGGATTACACATTAGGCGCCAAAAGTTGCTCATTACTATACAGTTTATTAATAAAAAAAGAGTTACTAAATTTTTGTTTATTTTCAGGTAACACAAAGAATGGCAAAATATTAAAAAAAACAGTTTTTTTTTTTTAATCGAGCTAGCAACGTTTTCTTCACCTGATTTACGCATTAGGTCACAAACCTTGATCAAAACTATATAGTTTAATAAAAAAAAAACATAATTTTGATCTTCAGGGTCCGCATGGGAGAAGAAAGACAGCAAATATTTCAAAAAATACGTCCTTTTTAAAAAAAACTTTTAATCCAAAATTATCTTAGATCAAACACAGATCTGTCACAACTTGTAGCATTAGAATGGAACTGTAATCAATACCGGCATGAAGGGTGAGATGTTTAGATTGATTGAGTTAAACCTAAAAGAACACTTGCATTGGTTCATTTGCCAATTCCATGTAAATAAACTTCCTCTTCCACTTAATTAATAAATTAGACGGTAAAATAACAACCAAAAAGTTTTTATTTGATCCTATTGGTATTTTGTTTTCAAACTAATATATATGCTAATATAAGCTCTAAAAATATAACATTATGTCCAACCACTTTAAGCACAAATGAAAACTATTTATTAGATATTAGTCTAGCTGTAGCATCTGAAAAAGTTTCAGAAGACCTTGCAAAAAGGAAACCTGGCAAGTTGTTACACGCTCGTTGGTTTACTTGTGCGAGTAGGATATTACGATTATATGTGCACTGATAGCGCAAAAAATCTGTTTTATTTAATAACGCTTTTAAATATTTGGATGAATCTACAAGAGAAGAAATCGATGCTACTATCCAAAGAAATGCTTATTTTGGCCATCCAG